AACATTTCATGGAAGAGAATTATACAATATGGTTGAATGGTAGAATTAAATTCGATGTCTATTTATTTGCTTAAAAAAGAGTGTATTCTATTTTTTATTTTCGTTAATTGTTCAACAGTTAGTTGTTTTTAACAACTAACCTTGTAATGAGTTGAGATAAACAAACCATATTTCCCTCTTGATCATGTAAATTGTAGAAATGTAAATAAAAAAAATGTAGAAATGTGTAAAAACTTGTAAAAATAACAAATGTGAAATATAATAATAGTTTAAGTGCCTCAAGGCTGGGACGATTCTTTTGTTTTTCTAATAATAAAGCCCAAGGCTCTAAAAGTCCGCAGTACAATCTTCGATAAGTGTGGTGTACTCCCAAATCACGAACAGTCAATTCACGTTGGATTTCTTCGTTATACAGGGTGTCCCAGAAATGAGTGCAGATATTTTAAGGGGTGCTAGATCTGGTCAAAATAAACATATTTTCTCTTTACCATTTTTAAAATAAATTGAAAATAACCGAGTTATTTAAGTTTGAAAATTTAAAAAAATAATCGCAATATTTTGAGAACCGCCGGCAGATATCGCCATCTACATCCAATTACCCGGAGCAAGCCCGGATTTCAGTTAATTCGACGCACTGTGTTGCCATAGGGACAAGAAAGTATATGTTAAAAGTAAGTCATAAAATCACAACACCTGAGGAGTTTGCAGAGATGCATTACATTTTGGTGCACCTTACATTTTTAAGATTGTGATATTATTACATAAAATAAATTAAAAGTTAAATGTTTAATAATGTGTTAAAAAATGTGTTAAAAAAGTTAAATTAAAAAACTTACCCAACATTAAAAAAGATACTTATGACAGATTGATGTAACTGCGACAGTTCTCTTTTTCGATATACACTTAACTAAAATACACTTCACTGTGCTGCTTTACTTGTACATGCTATTATAATAACTACTAAAATAACAGTCCCCATTTTTAACACATTATTTTCATATAGGCCTCATCACAATTTGAATCACTCATTTACAAAACACCTTGAAAAGCACACATTACTTTGAATACCTTTCTGAATGAATAAATGTTGAGAATTATTGTCTCTTACCGCCACTATTGTCACTTCCGAACTACTTTCAATCTAAGAAAATACATGTTTCACTCAACAATTTTAAATACGTATTTTGTTTTTTCGCTATTTTTTCTATGTATTTCAACAATTCCATCGACAGCCCAATCGTCGCGTCGGCCGTCGGCCAAGAGAGCGGCGCATCACTGGTAACTGCTCCTTTGTCGCGCCGCCGTGTCGAGCTTGCGTCATGCGAGGTTGCCGTAGTTTCAACAATTTCAAATTCAAGACACTCGAAGCAATCAAATTCTTATTAAATTTTAAAAATAAAACAGAAAAACATGAAAGGAAACAAACAAAACACAAATGAATTGGTTATTGATAAGGTCACAAAAAAGAAATTTCTAAAATGTTTATCGTAATTCAGAATTCAATACATCGAAAACAGCCCGACGAATAACCAATTCATTTTTATTTTGTTTATTTTCTTTCATGTTTCTCTGTTTTATTTTTAAAATTTAATACGAATTTGATTGCTTCGAATGTCTTGAATTTGAAATTGTTGTAACTACGGCAACGTTGCTTAACATCATCGTCTGACGCAAGCCCGCCACGACGGCGCGGCGACCGGCGACTCAAAGGACCAATTCACACGCGGCGGTTCTTGGCTGACGGTTAGGCCAGAGAAGAACGACCGGTTAGGCTGTCGATGGAATTGTCGAAATATATCGAAAAAATAGCGAAAAAACAAAATACGTTGTCAATAATTGTTGAGTGAAACATGTATTTTCTTAGATTGAAAGTAATTCGTAATGTGGCGATAAGAGACAATAATTCTCAACATTTATTCATTCAGCAAGGTATTCAAAGTAATGTACGCTTTTCAAGGTGTTTTGTAAAACAGTGGTTCAAATAAAACAGGGAAACATGAAAGAAAACAAACAAAACAAAAATGAATCGATTATTCGTTGGGCTGTTTTCTAAATTTCTTGAATTGAATTTTAAATTACGATAAACATTTTAGGAATTTCTTTTTGTGACCTGATTGTGAATAATATGAATCATTTTATTAAATTTATTCCAAAATAAAGTTATTTTGCAGCATAACAAAGATTTTCGTAAACGTCATAAACGTAATGTTTTAGTTAATATTCGGTGGTTTTTGTTAAGTTTTCATTGAAAGGGTAAGTACTAAAAATAATTAATGTGTTTTTTTTCTATCATTATTGATAATGAGCACTGATAAAAGATTAAATTTAACATTCCTAACTAATTTTTTGAGTAGAAATTTGTCTATGAATTTATAAATGTAGAACTATGTTCCGCCGAATTATGTAGAATGTGGATAACATAGGAGGTTGCAACACTGCAAGGTTTAGATACACCGTAGGGAAATCTCAGGTGAATAATGTCAAGAAAAATTTTAAATTTTCAACATTTTTTTTCGCAAAAAAACCTCATAGGCGTGTTTCTGGGGTTGAACTATACTACCAGTTAAAATATTTGCACTTATTTCTGGGACACCCTGTATAATAAATATTTATGCAAAATTGGGTTTTAAGCTGCAAGAAACGACAGAGCATTTTTCAATATTTAAGAGGAGTTTGTTATTTGTACACCAGTTCGCTGTTATTTCCAGCGATTCCTGAAACTTTTGACAATCATCAACAGAGCACACCTATGAAAAAATCAATTAAATGTCATCCGTATACAATAAAATGTTGACATTTGAATGCTCAACAACACTATTTATAAAAATGTTGAATAAAAAAACTCTGGGGATGTACCAAACAAAGCAACCGAAATATTATCCAAATATTCCAAAACAAGGTACTACGAGGTATTGTTGACGCACCGTGGTATATTCGCAATGGCAATCTACATAAGGACTTAGAAGTGGATGATGTCGACAATGTTATCGGGAAATATGCCTTAAGACATGAAGAGAGGCTCCATCAGCACCCCCAAGGCCCACCAGCTCCTGGATAGTGATGGCTTAGTTAAAAGAATGAAAAGAACAAAACCATTTGAACTAGTGTCGTGAAAAGTGTTACTATAGCCCAGTGCATTCCAACATAGTACTCCAACAGACCTGACAGAACCAAATTTACTATCATAGGATTAGTATTTTGTATTTAACCGTAGCAAATTAAGTCAAAAACAAATAGTTTATTAGTGAAATTTTACTAGATTGCTATACTAAATTGCCCAAGAGTGATAAAAAAATAAAAATGTTGAATAAAAGAGGATTCGGAATTGACCCCTGGGGAACCCCATTCACCTCAAAAGACATTTGACCACAGCATTCCACAATTAATTCGCTGCCACTCAAATACGATTTAAAAAAACTTAGTAAACTGAGGGAAAAACACAAAGTTTCCAAATGGGAAATCAAAACACCGTGATCCAGCTTGTCAAATGCCTTTGAGAAATCGGTATACAGTACATCTACTTGATGTCGATGGTCAAAAGCGTCCGCAATGAACTGCGTGATACACATGAGATTTGAGGTCGTCGATCTATCCCTAGTAAACCCATGTTGCTGAGATGCCAAACTACTCCTACATTCAAAAGTGAGTATGTCAAAAAGAACCAGCATTGGAACAAGCATTGGACAAAATTAAACATTAACGAAACATATATGCTCGAAAACACACGAATGCAGACATAAGTTGATCAATCTAGTTAAAATACAAGCACAGTCACGCAGAAGAAAAGATGAAATTTTATCAGGGCCAATGGTTCCCTTATTTATTTTATTTATATTAATTATTTCGTTCTCAGAAGCCTAGGCAGTCTAAAATGTTTTTTTCGGATACTTTGACAATATTGATTCTGGGTGGTAGGTTGCTTAGATGTAATACACTCCAATAAAAAGGAATGACACCAAGAATCATTATGACTGTAGCTGCATTATTCTAGGAGGTATTGCTAAAGCACCTTGTTCGAATACTGATCCCCTAATGTCTGTTCGGTGGGGGCGAAGCGATACCGCACCGAAAGTCGCGATAGACGCGCTAAATTGATTTAGGCATCGAGTGAAATCTTGACAAGTCGCCGCCGTATATGTAAGGTCGTTGGGATTGCGTGGAAGTGAAATTGATCCCGTTCCGCGTGTGCCTGATAAAGCTGCGAATTTATGGGGCTCCGAATAGGGAAGATATTCTAATGGTGCAAGCTGAATCTCTAAATATTACGCTGTGAAAAGTGATTTACCTTGCCAGACGAGTTTCGTTGCATTATAGATATCGCGAACTTAAGATATAGAGTAATTCTTATAGTAGAAAATCGTTAGGGTCTGGAGTTAAATGGAAGATATACTAAGTATGTTCTCGATATCAGTGGGGTCTCTCTAGATACTACGTCAAAAGCTGATAAAAAAAGCAACCCTAAAAGCAACCATTGGCACTAACTTAACAGATTTTAGATATTAAGGATTGATGTTGCTTTTTATATTTTTATTTGGACTAGGCGCCTGTATTTGCCAAAAAGATATACAGGGTGGCCCATTGATGCGATGAAGTCCAATATCGTCGTTTATGTCGAAGATATGAAAGTTTTATACAAATGTTTTGCATAGTTTATAAAGGGGCATATATTAAAAATATTTTGTTGTATATAGATTGTCACAAAAAAAAGTTATGATAAAGTTTTAAGTTTTTTTTTAAATTGCACCCCTCATTTTTGCAATATATATAATACTCATTTTTTTACTCTAAGTTAAGGTAGTAGGTTTTCTCTAAAAATGAAATAAAACTGAAAACAAATTAAGAACCACTCTGAAACGAGCTGTTAACACCAGGTTAGTTTTATTAATAAATCAATATTTCAAACTAAAGCATAATGCAATTATTTTTGATTACTTTACATCAAAAATGACAAATTAAACAATTTACATCTTTATCAATTATTTCCTTAACATATTAATACATGGTTTGAGAGAGTATCTATGATGGTTATTCTCTTAAACTGCATCACGCTGGGCATGTACCAGCCCTGTGTGGATAAGGATCCTTGCGTTACCAACAGATGTAGGATACTTCAGGTAAGTTTTATCTTTGCATTTTATGACTTAGAATTTATTATATAAGATTTCTATTTGAAAATTAAGCGGGGCACTCAAAATTCTCCTTCTTGAAAAGCAATTTGTCTGCCTACAAGAATTTAATTAAAATTTTGTCAGCTTGTGCTTTATGTAGCTTTTCATTATGCCAGTAGTTTTGAACTATAGCTATAATACCAGGAATATTCTTAATTTTAGTTTGCTTTATTTTCCGTCATGTTGCAGTACAAGGTATCCCATTTTCGTGTATTTTATGGGGTTTCTCGTTTATGAGTAGGAATACAAAGATACGGTTTTCACATCACTGTCCTACTTTTTTATGAAACAAAAGATGCTACATACAGGTTTGTCCTAGCTTTCTTGTTTTCTGAAATACAGGGCTAATTTGAAAATGTTTGAAAACTGAATTCTGTAGAGTTTTTCATGTAGAATGCAGTGGCGTAACTAGTTTTTTGTTGGAAGCTGTCATTTTCCAAGTATGAGTCAATGTATATTATTTATGCCTTGTGAGCTGCCTAAATGTAATACACTTTATACTTATTTTAAATAAAATTGCATTAATTAAGTTTTTAACATAAATCTACTTAGTTTAAAAAAGCCATTATGGGTTTATTTTATTTAATTTAACCAGGTAATTTAGCTTGCCATCGTGTTATTTATATTTTTGATGCTTTGATGATTTGCCTTTGATGATTACCTAATTTAAACCAGCCACCTATGTTAAAAAGTTAAATAATGCATTTTCTACCTTGTTTATGAGAATAAGTATAGAGAATATTATATTTTTAGAAAGATCATAACAAGGCAAATAAAATATAAAAATAATATACAGGGTATTCCATTTAAAAAACATAATTTTGAGTCATTGAATTCTACGTAGGTTCTGTGTTTCTTTATTTTCATAAAAAAGTAACACATTATTGTGAAAACCGTATCTCTGTACCTCTACTCATAAGCGAGAGTAACTAACTAACTCTGTAAAACACACGAAAAGGGGACACCCTGTACAATAGATTAATTACAAAAATAGAAAGATTCGGAACTATTATTTTTATTTCCCATAAAAATAATTCAAAATATAAATTAGTCAAATACTATAATTTTTTTTCTTTTTTCAGACGTTTGATGAGTTCATATTTGCCTTCTTCTCATTGGAGATGACGATCAAAATGATTGCCATGGGAGTCTACGGTCGAGGGGCGTACCTAGCAGACTCATGGAATAGATTAGATTTATTTATAGTTATTGCTGGAGCTGTGGAATATGGGTTACCTAGTTTTAATAACATCAACCTCTCACCTGTTAGAACCATCAGAGTCCTTAGGCCACTCCGGGCTATCAATAGGATACCAAGTAAGTATATTGATTATATTTCGTATCATTTTGACTATTACAGAATATTTCGTAATGTGTTCATACTACTACTACTACAGCCATTACTCGCTGACGAGTATTTAACACGCATCAAAAGATGGTTACACAAGGCGTTTTTTTTTCAAGAGTTTTACTGTGACTGAAAAGCCCTATACCTAATGTTATCTCTCTTTCGCGCTCTGGACATTCAAAAACCTCATTACTTTGTTGCCTTTTGACTTTTTGGTTGTCATTGTTAACTGAGTTTACAATTCTTCCCCATTGCGTTCTATTATTTCTCTTCTTCCCACTGATTCTGCATACTTATTCCCTTTAAGTTTTCATGGAAAATATCCTTGTTTCTTTTGAGTTGTCCACCCGGTTTCCTCTTACCATTACAAGCTCACGGTAAAGAAGGGTTTTCGGTAGGCGGTATCTTAAGCGGGACTTAGTAAGCATGACTTCGGCGCTCTCGCAGCTAGGTTTTTAAGGACCAATACGTTTGACACATGGTAGTACCATTTGATTCTTAACAGTTGTCTAAGGTGTCTCTGGGGTTAATTAATTAATACATTAGGTTTAAACTATCTGAATATTTCGATCAAAAGGGTACAGAACTCGATTCGAAATGTCGAGATGAATTAAACTCTCTTGATTTCCACTCCATTCACGTCATTTATATATTTATTTATTATGGAAATAAATTATCCTAGTACAAGAATATGCCCCTATATTTTCAATTTCAAATACAGCTAATTTTCAAACCATTTTCGAATGCATGAATGCAACTGTTAGACAGCATAATAGATCATGACTTGCAAATCTTTTAAGTAAATTATTAATCTGAGAACGATTCTACACATTAGCATCAATCTGGACACCACACTGCACCAAGTCAAATAATCCTTCCCCGTACTTTGCATAGTTAAATCTAATTCCTGGCGAATTGGCTTGTTCTACATCGGATTTCGACCGTTAGATTACTTCTAACACGACAGTTTCGGAATTTTAATCTGATTTGCTTCATGTTTCTTACTCCATTTTGAACAAATTGGACAATAAAAATATGAAGTGAGTTTTTTGGAGACAACAAAAATTTGAATAAAACGAGATTAGAATTATTTTTATGGTTAAATTTATTATCCTGTTTATTATTCCTGATTTAGGTAATGTAAATTAATTATCCCTATAATGTAAATTAATTATCCCTATAATGAAAGGATCAATATTAATTAATGGTAGTCATCTACCAAAAGTGTGATTTCTGTCAAAAGAATATGATATATGTATACGCATAAAAAATCTAAAAATTAATAGAAAAATTATTTTCTTTTATCGAAAAATTGCAAACAGTTAAAAATATCTTTAGCGATCCAAGTATGGAAATCTTCACTATACCGGATGTTTCACGAAAGTGGCTCACTCCTATAACTTTTCTATGTTTTCAGTAAATAAACGAGGTTTGGTATATTAGTATATGACATAAATTAAGGACTGATTGACGTATTCAATTGTTTTTGGTCACTTCCTGTTTCACCGGAAATGACTACAACTTTTGATTTTTAAATAACACTCGGTATTTCTTACTTCATTCATGACGAAAATGGCATTCCGAACAGAATGAGATATCATATGTCAGCTTTTGACATTTTCAGTTAAAAAATAGCATTTTTTATTTCAATTTTTCAAGTAGATTGCCATGGCCATAAATGTAATGAAAATTTGGCTCGAAATACTAAGTATGTCATACCAAATTATTCGTAAAAAAATGCTTTTACCAAATATGATAATGAGCCACCCTCGACATCAGACGATCAAATCTATGTTTCAAAGACTCCTTGACTAAAAATTAGAATTTTTAACACATCCATTGCTCTTTAGATTGAAATTTAAGCGAGAATGTTAAAAGTTGATATATGAAATATGAAAGTGGATATATGGGAGTGTTCTTTTCTATGAAATAAAGTAAAAAAATACGGAGGGTGCCATTTAAAAATCAAAAGTTGTCGTCATTTCCGGTGAAACTGGAAACGACCAAAAACAATTGAATGCATATGATTTATGTTATACAGTAACGTACTCAATCTCGTTGATTTATCTAAAAAAAATAAAAAATTTAGAGGGGTGAGCCACTTTTCAGAAACATATACATACATACATACATACTGCCATTACTCGCTGACCAGTCTTCGACACGCATCAGAACATGGTCACGCAAGGCGTTTTCTTTCATGAGCTTTTCTGTGACTGAAAAGCCCGATACGTGATGTTATCTGCCTACCGCACTCCGGACATTCAAAAATATCATTGCTTTGTTGCCTCTTTACTTTTTAGTTGTCGCTGTTAACTGAGTTTACAATTCTTCTCCATTGAGTTCTATGGTGAGCTGCTTCTTCCCACTAATTCTGCATGTTAATCGCCTTTAAGTTTTCGTGGGACATGTTATTGTACCTTTTCAGTTGCCCACCCGGCCTCCTCTTACCGTCTACAAGTTCACCGTAAAGCAGAGATTTTGGTATGCGGTTTCCTTGCATTTGGGAAACCCCTGGTGTATGGCAACCACTAATCAAATGTATAAATGATAACATCATCATAAATGAAGGACATATGCTTAGCACCCAACTCCTTCACAAGTGACTTGCTCTAGAATAGAAGCACAAGTAGTTTTATTATTTAAAATAGTTACACTTGAAAACGTTCAGTTATAAATGAAGACAGTGGATATTCAAAACTCTTTTACTATCAATACTGAGCCATTATCCACCACATTCAAAAAAGATAATAATCTTTTAAGTAAACTATATTCTATTGCGCCTCGATTGATGTAATCTTCTTTGGATATCTTTACTAAAAAACACATTTAAAAAAATCCAGATTTGTTTTGTGTAAAACTACTGAGTTTACAAGCAGACAATTTATTACTTCAGCAAAAACGAAATACCTAATGATATTTATCTTTTATTTAATTTTTAATACGCGGACCTGGATTATTTTATTTCACGATTTAGTACCTGAGAGAAAAAATACTGCTTTAAAAGTCATGACGCACCGCTTGATTTTATTGAGAAAATAAACTTTATTTGGAGAATGCCAAATATATCTAGCGACCATTAAAAAAGTCATTGCAGTTCAATTTATAGCTCCACGTGTAGAGCACAATAATCACTTTTTTCCGACATTAAGTTTAATAGAAACAGTTCATTCCAAATAGATATGTTTTATCTTTCTCCACCACGTTACTGATGGAAATACACAAAAATCCATCTGAAGCAAAAAAAAGTGCGTAATTGGTTGAAAAATGCAGAGCTCAAATTTTCAACATATCCGAATTAAAAAAAGCTAAAAGCACATTTTTAATTTTGCGTTGCTGTTAGACCTCCTGGTGTCTAGAATCTGAAAATAATTTACAGCGGTTTCTCTATAAATACGTTTTCCTTATTATAGGACCACCTTGTACAGGGTGGTCGAAATTGGTCTGCTCTAATAGAGAAGACCTATCCCCCCTCTCTCTCTCTCTCTCTTTTCAAATTTTCATACAGATTTCAATTTAAAAACTTTACACGACTTAAATAATATCAAAATTTAATAAGTGAATGACAGCTGTAATTTTACAATTTAACACAAATAACATAATGAATGATCGTGATCCTTTAAGGCCAGCTACCTAGGTAGAGAGAAAAAAACCTAATATTTCGCTCATTTTTAGAAATAGACACCCGCAACTTTATGTTGTTGAAAGGGCTAAATACCGGTATGTTTTAGAGTTTATAACCAACTGTTCCATTTAAAAAAATATATAGTTATTTTTCACAAAAAGTGCAATTACAAAATAAAATCGAGGGTTTAGGTTGTTAATTTAAGGTTGTAGCTGAACAAGTGCCTTAATAATGTTTTTACAGATTATTATTGAATTAAGTTGTTCAACTTTTTTTTGTTTTTGCGTTGAGGAGGGAAAAAATCTTGCATAAGATACCCAAAGTTGGGTAGTGCCGGATTCCTACCGGCTAAAAACCCTCCTCCGACTACCATTTTACACTGGAATCCGCTCTCACATTGCTTCAGTGCAAAGGGTGTCTAGATTTATCTTATCATGCTCTTTGTCTCTCTTCGCTCTCTTTACAATTTATGATATTTCGGACTATCCGATATATTAGCGTCCATTGTTCTTCCCCTTCAACTAAGTATATGATAAATGTGGGTAAGTCGATGATGCACTATCAACCCTACAACGATCATACAAATATTTTTTAAAACACCCATGGCCAGACAATGATTGACTCATGAAGTAATCCACTTCTCCGTATGATCTGTTCAACCATAATTGAATGTCGGGTATTAACTTGTATGTCCATCTGCCATATGTTCCGGTATTCCATTTGTCCTGCCACTGTTGAAGAAGTTTTGTCCTCGCTAGATTCTTATCCATACCGTTCCTGTATGAGCAGTTCAATAGGTACTATTTCAGATAAAACCCCTATAGCCTCTCCAGATACCGGTTTGTGTGTGCTGCATACTCTAATAGCCATGATACGTTTGTATTGTATATATGACATGATATCTATGTCGGCTTTGCTATATCTAGATAGGAAATAGACTTTATCTACAATTTCATTGCTTTGTTGCCTCTTTTTGGTTATCGCTGTTAACTGAGTTTGCAATTCATCTCCATTGCGTTTTATTGTGCGCTGCTTCTTTCCACTAATTCTGCATGCTTATTCCTTTTAAGTTTTCGTGGAAAATATCTTTGTACCTTTTGAGTTGTTCATCCAGTTTCCTCCTACTTTCTACAAACTCACCGTAAAGAAGAGATTTTGGTAGGTAGTTTTCTTGCATCCTGCATAGGTGACCAGCCCAAGTTAAGCGGGATTTAGTAATCATGACTTCAACGCTCTTCACAGCTAGCTTTTTCAATGCCCGTTACGTTTGAGACATGGTGGAACCATTTGATTCTTAAAAGTTGTTTAAGGTGTCTCTGTTGCAAATTGTTCAATACGTTCATG